TGTCTCTCTGTCACTTTAATTCAAATAATGTCTCTTGTATATGATTAATTACACTCACATTTGGGGCATACATATTTATTATCATTATATCTTCTTGTTGGATTGGTTCCTTTACCAGTATGTAGTTACTTTCTTTATTTCTTTTGATTAATGTTGGCTTGGATTCTGCTTTGTCACATATAAGAGTAGCTACTCTTGCTTGTATTGGGGCTCCATTCATGTGGTATATCAATTTCTATCCTTTCATTTTAGGCCTTTGGCTGTGTTGAATCTCCTGCAATATATAGTTGGGTCTTGTTTTTTTAATTCATCCTGCCTGCTTATGTGTTTTAGTTGGAAAGTTGAGACTATTTACATTTGATGTCATTATAGAGAGATCTGTATTATTTTCTGACATTTTGATTTATTTGTAATGCTTAATTTGGTCTGTTTCTCATTTGTTTAGCTACTCCTCAAATGAGATTTGTTCCTATGTGATCTTTAAGGATTTTTAATTTTTTTTTTCTGTGTGGAATATTTCTTTAAGAGAGTCCTATAGTACCAGCTTAATCAAAAATTTAGTATGTTTACTGTAATTAAAGTTTTTCCAAAAAAAGAAAACTCAGGAGAGTTTTTTAGTTTATCTGTCAAGATACTAAAATAGTTAAAGTTGATGGCACATCAATCTTTAGTTATGATTGTAGAAAAAAAAAACTTCTTAAATGTATAGGAAAATGAATCCAGCAGAAAATGAATATTATTGTAGAAACAACTTATTCTTAGGGGGAAAAAAACCCACATGATAGAAGAACTTTTAGAATAATTCATCAAATCAGAAGAAACGCCATAATGCATCATCAACTTGAAAGATTCAAGGAAGATTTTTCATCACAATAAATATGAATCTGTATCTGATATAAATTTTAGTAAAATATAAATACATATTATGGTCTTAGTGTCAGCAAAGTAATTACCTGTAAGACAAGAGACATCCTTTTTGAAGAAAGGCACACCATAATTATTGTTTTTTCTAAATTACTTTTCCACTTGATAAGATTAAAAAATATAATAGAAATAGAAGTAGTGGAGAATATTTCCAGATGACATAACTGTCTGCCTGAAAACTCAAATGATTAACATGAAAAAAAATGTCATTACCAATAAGGGAGTTTCCCATAATTGTTTTTGACAATATCATTAAAAAGTTAAAAATCAGAACAAAGTGTTGAAAAAAATTATAAAGTATCCAGAATTAAGTGTCAGAGTGAATGTATAGAATCTATTTAAATAAACAATAAATATTAGTGACTTGCATAAAATAACAATATTTAACAGTGAGAACATATTTGAATAGAAGCTACCACCTAATAATGATTATAATTCTAATTTATTTTTTATAAAATGCAGTCACGTTATTGTGTTAGGATAAATTTGACAAAATGATCCTAAATTTTGATTTTTCTATAAACACGTAAAAAAAAAGGAAATTTTAAGAAGCAATGGGATATATTTGTCTTAGTGTATTATTCAAAACTCTGTGGTTTTGGTGAAGGTTTCGAAGGAGTATACTAACAAAATCTACTAGATGAAACTAAATTTAGAAAAATGTTAGATGGAGGAATGGAGGCCAAGTGAGGTAGGAAGAGAGGAAAGCAAAGAAGGAAGGAAGGAGGAAACTAAAGGCATCTTTATATCAGGAAGAGGATATACCAAGAATATTTACAATAACTTAAAATTCTGGAAAAATTTGGGAAGGGTAATCACTAAACTATATTAAGTCCTTGAGTACTGTATAACTCTGTAGTGATAGAGAGGGTCCCCAAAGTGTATACCATCACTGTCATGCCTTGGTTGTGGAAGGAGTTGTCACTAGATCAGATAAAACAAAGTTCTACTCTGTGTTACTGATAGCAAGCCTAAAGGATGTTTATCTTGTCCTAATATAATGAACCAAAAATTTTCTGGTTTTGGTTTTTAGCTTTCAAGATCATTTGTATATTTTTATGCCTTAATATCCTCTATGCTCCACAGTGAAAATATTGGCTTAGAGAGATCAGTAGATTAGCTAAACATTTCACTTCACATAATTAATAATCAGATGGGAATTCAGAATTTATTTAAGGAGAGACCCTCATACCATGCAAAATTGCCTTCTCATGAAAAATTCTAGTAGCTTGCAAGCTGTTATCTGGTCTTTGGCACATTTATGTGTATTAGAGATCTCTCCACTTCACAATGATGGTCATTTCAAAATTGAGTAATTATCATTCATAATTCTCATATTCTCTAATATCAGTTCAGTGATGTATCACATCATGAGTCATTCCATTTTAATAATGGATGTCACCTCAATATTTAAAAACAACCATTGTGTGACCCTTAACTCTATCTATTCAGTCTTTCTAGTTCCTTCCATTTTTTCTTATGTAATATATTTTCAGATCCCTCTTTTTGTTTAATGTTTTAGATGATCTCATTTTTAGTTACAAAAATGCTTCTCTGTATGTAGCCGGTACTGAACTCCATCCAGATACTGAGAAGTGGATGGATGCATACTCTTACAAATTTGATGATTCTAGGAAGCAAATCTGCATGGCCTTTGCTAAATTACTTGTGTAATAGCCATATGTCCTCTCAAATTTGCTTTTGTATCCATAACAAATTTTAGCTAATTTAGCTTGATATTACTATTACAGTATCTTTATTTAAAATGAACTGACTTTTCATTCGATAAACAAGGAAAACAGATCCAGTGTTGCATTTCCAGATATTAATGGGGATTTGTGTCTGTTTGTGTGTACAGGGGATTTCGAAGTATGTGTGAGCATGTAGGTTTACAGGGCTGTGAGCATGTATATAGGCTTGCATTTAGAACTGATTTGCTGGAAGATATTGAATTTTTTAAAATTTTTATTTTCTAAAGTAATGATCTAGTAAAGAAAAATTTGCTTTGTATTTTTTCCTATTTTACATATAAGGTGAAGAAAAAAGTAAGAAAATGATGAAAGGCAATTGAAAATTATTTTTGGATACAATATTTAGGGAGAAGACAAAAAAATTAGAGGACATGCAAGTTTTTTAAAAGAAAGGTATGAACATGTTGCCACTGACAATATCATTAAAAATTAAAAAAAATCAGAACAAACTTGGTTTGTGATGGATAAAAAAGCTGTTTTCCTTTGTGACATGGAGGATTGCCATTTTTTAAAAAAATATTTCTTAGTTGTTGATGGATCTTTATTTTATTCATTTATTCATATGAGAATCAGTGCTTCACACACTTGAGGCAAGCGCTCTATCACTAAGCCAGGAACCCAGCCCTGGAGTGGTACTTTTCATGTGTTCATGAGGCTTCTTGAGCATATAGGATAATGGAGAAAATATAAGATATCATAGTAGACAAAAAGTTCTCTAATACATGAGCATCTTCATATGTCACTTCCCCCAGCCCCTGTTTTCTCTCACATATGACTTTTGCCTAAAACAACAACAACAACAACAACAAAATCCCCAAACCTCCCCAAGTCTGTCTACTGTATACAGATATCTAGTGTATATCTAGATAGTGTCTATCTTCAAAAGCTTATGATATTTGGAAAAATTAAATTAAATTTCTGTTGTTTGTGTAAATATTAAAATGCACTTTTAGAATCCTATAATAAATATGTTTGAGAGCAATTAAGAAAACTGAAGATCATTAACAATTCACCATGAACCAAATAGAACTTTAATTCTTTTTAAACTATTTGGAATATAGTAATTATAGCATGTAACATGCTACAATGTTAGCAGTTTTCTACGATTTAGAGAGAGAGCAAAATCATTCATTAGAATTGTCTTAATTTTTAAGACTGTTTATACTATTTTATGGTGCATTAACTATGTGAAATTCTATTTATTACTTGAGTCATCTGCTTATATTCTATTTATGTTTCATATTCTACTTACCATTACCTCTCCTTTGCAGATTCATATGTATTATGCATAATTATATTGCTGTAATAAATAATTATAGTTATGCATAACTGGGTTCATTTTGATAAAATTATTTATACATGGAATTTCGTTTACTCTATTGCAGTCTGTGGTGTCCCCTCTTTCCATCTGATCCATATGTATTGGAAGATGAACTTAAATAAATAAGAAACAAACATGTTAAATAACGTTATGTCCCAAGTAAGTTTTTAGGTGAAGGGAAAGGCTTGTTAAAAATAGATTTATAGGCCCTCTGTTTTAAGATTTTGATTCAGTAGATCTAGGCTGGTGTTGCTGTGGATTTTTGAAATATCCAGTTAATTCTTATAGCAGGAAAAAGAAATTGAGAAAATAACTGTCTCAAAATAATTCCAAGACACATGTTAAAACTCTCTTTATTCTTGTTTTGAATCATCTATATCACTGGTTATACTTGTTGTTGGGAGTCGCCCCGCCTCTAAAGACTAACTTCCCCATCCCCCAAAAAGATCTGTCCAATGGTGAGCCCTGCTGACTCACATAATCCTTACCCACCAGTCAGACTAGCCTTGCTGGCTCACATGATCCTTACCTACCAATAAGAAAGCACCCCATGCCAACTGTCAAACCATTAAACCGTTAAACTGTCATAACTGTCAAAACACCCCTGGCTCTATCAATGTGCAGATCTGTTCCTCAATAAACGGGCATTTTTTTTCTGACGACGAGGCTTGTTTGTTCTTTCACTTGTTAATACAGAAAATTGCATTTACTACATATTATATTTGAACTGACCTTACCTTTAAAATTAGAAAGTTAGTGATTTCTCTCTACAATATAACATGCTATATTTCATTCAGTTCTCATTTTCTGTGGCATGTAATTCAATCAATGAATATAAAGTATTCAATGACATAATTTTTTTTTTTTGCCTTGTAGGTTATATTTAGGTCATAATACCTTCAGGTTAATAAGAGAATTGAAGAGTTCGTTTATATTTATTTTTGTTCATAAAAATAAAGGTGTAATTGAGCTTGCATAAATTTGTTTTTATTTTTTGTTTGCAGAGTACAAGTTGAATTCTATATGAACGAAAACACATTTAAAGAGAGATTAAAGTTATTTTTCATTAAAAACCAGAGATCAAGTAAGTCCTTCATGTCATTTCCCTCTCTGTTTGTAAAGGAATTACCTCAAAATTCTAACTGCACAGTAGTTTGCAAAATGCTTTTCTGTACAGAATAGTGACATTGGTAATTTTGATTGGAAAATAGTAAAATTTTAGAAAAATGTAAATGCTTTATCTATTAGTGTTACTTGTCTCCTGAGCACCTTTAATTGTCTAAATCCCACTTTACTAAATACACTTTTGCATAAACTATTTGGTTAGTGGAAACATTGAGAAAAATACTTTCAGTGAGAAATTCATACTTTTTAATGTGAGGAGTATCTAAAAGAGCTTGACAAGTCTCTGGAAATTGATCACAATGGGAAATAACTTTCTGAATTAATGAGAGAAGGGCTCAGTGTTTCCCAGTCAGGCTTAATAAGAAACATCTAAAGTTCTCCTACTGGAAAATTTGAATCAGCATGTATAGGGTGATTCTCAATGCTTAACATTCAATGATTCTTATCATCAGACAATTTGGGAAACACTAGAACTTTAACAGGACAGTCACTGCCCTCATGACCCAATTCAAGGTTGAAATATCAGTGATACTTCTTTGCTATTATACTGTGTACTTTTAGAAACCATTTGCCATAGCACAGGATTACTATTAAAATGTCAACAAGGAGAGATCTGTATTTCATTGGTGTAGACTTTAAGCTCTTTGAATTTTCACTCCTCTTGAAGTATTCTAAATTAACTTGTGCCTTTGTAGATAGGATTCATAGAGACAGGCTTGACTTGTAGGGTGTTCTCAAATACTAACTACAGGGAATATTTAAATATTTAAGGCACACACTGGTCAGAGATTAGTAGATTAGTTTCAGGGTTAAGACTGTTAATAACTAATGTCTTTCTAACCTGCTTGTTTAGAATTATCAAGGAAGCGCCATTGATAGACATGACCTAAAAGGGCCACATCATGAGAATGGAAGGTTTCCTTAATTTCAGTACTAACAATCCTATCTCTCCTGACCAGAAAAATAGATGCATTGTTTGAATACTCTCCTTACTAAAGTGGAGAACCAGTTCTATAAAACAAATACAATTTCATTAAAAATTTAAAAGACTTTATAAAGAAGCCAACCCATCAAATGTATTCAGCATTTTAATAGGAAAATCTAGGAAAAATTACACAATTAAATATTAATCTTTTCACTCTTAGGAAATGCTACCGGTACATTCATGGCAGAATTTAAAAAAAAATGAGTAACATTTTACTTCTATGTTTTATTAAGTAAAAATTTTAGAAAAGTCTTTCTCAAAATTTCATTAAAAATGTGCAAATCAAATATCACCAAATAAGTGCATGAAAGGTAATCTTCCTAGTAATTAAGGTTTATTTTTACTTAGCTTAAACTTATTTGCGCATCTTCATCATCATGAAGTATTTTAGGTTGTGTAACTGTGACCAAAACAGTTTAAGAGACATACACATGACAGTCATAATACTCACAAAAACTTACATATTTCATTGGCATTTAACCTGGTTAAAAATAAGATTCAATTCAAATGTGTGTATATGTGAATGAGACTGAGAGTGTGGCAAGAGAGAGAGCAAAGGAGAGGACATGCATATTTGTTTCTCATTATAAACTATTATGATTTCGCTCCATAAATATCATGTAACATCTACATATACAATTAATATACACTATAATATAATTATATAATGAATATTAAAAACAAAACATAAAGTTATATAAATATAATTACAATTTCTGTATAATCCAGTCTACAAGCTGCTCTGAAGGTCCAAAGTTTATTATTCATCCTGTGAATATGTAAACAGCTTTATTTTCTAGCTAGCTAGACTTTATCCAAAAATTCATGTGTATGTAAAATGGTTAAACTTATAAGTGTACTCAAATACTCTGATTATCCAATAGATTTACTTTCAGTGAGTGATGTTCACTGTCACTTACAGTTCATGCATCCTGTCAAGTTCACTTTTTGTTTCAATACTCAACTAATTAAAATTCAGCTACCAAGAACTTCAGTGAATTCAGACAATTATAGTATTGTAGTTTCTAAATACAATCTAAGTGCTGTACTTAAAATTGATAACTTTGACAACCCTTTTTAGCCTTTTGTGAACAAGTTCATATTAAAACCAAATTTTTTTTGTTTGTTTAAAGGTCTAAGGATACGCCTGTTCAACTTTTCTCTCAAATTATTAAGCTGCTTATTATATATAATCCGAGTGCTACTAGAAAACCCTTCACAAGGAAATGAGTGGTAAGGTATTTTTGTCTGATCTTCAATAGTATTCTTTTAATTATTTTCATTTGGATTACATTATGAAGGACATTATAGAGAATTCCTTTTTTTTTTTTCAAGGATATTAAGTGTTTGTCACAATTGATCTGATTTTCAGGTGCTACATGAATATTGACTATAGATTCTTTGTAAAAATATCTTCTTTTTGTCTTTATCTATTTGTATAATGATAATACTGAACTTTGATCCATGGAAATGTTATTGTAATAGAAGTGCCATAAATAATGGTTTAAAATGGCTCAATCTCTTCAAAAACCTTAATATCTTTGTGTTCTTGATTAGATGTACTCCCCCAAACTTTGCTCTCTGTAGGCTAGCTTTATAGATATTTTCACTTATATTGTAGCTGTTACCTTGAATAGAAATATTCTAGCATGTCAACTTACTTTTAATATACAATCCTGTGGCTTTTATTAAATTGTATTCTTTTATGGACCTCCTTTTTAGGGGCTGTCCTTTGCTGGAGGCAATAGAGAAGAGAACTGCATGTGTAATGATATGACTAATTTGTATCTCATCAGCTTCCTGTACCACTATGCAGTCTACTAAATGTACAACAATTTTCAAAATAGAAAATGTGAATTTGATGAGTTATTTTCATGACTTTTTTCTTTTCTCCTGTGAAAATTTGCCCTTAAAATATTAAAACATAAATTGGAAAAGTGGGTACATAATATTCTTTTAAGTTAGTTGAATATTCTTCAGCTTGTTTAGGCAGTGAATATGGCTTTGTATTTACTCAAAGGTTTGGAGATAAGTAATAAGTGAAGTTTTATCATGTAATAATCTATGTGATGTGATCATTCCTTGTTAAAAATATTATATATGTGTGTATGTATAGATAAAAATGTATATACATAATATAAAATATATAAAATATTATTAATAATATATTAATATATATTTTAATATATATATTTTGGTACAGGGGATTGAACCCAGGGTGCTTTCTAGTTAAACTATATCCCCAGTCCTCTCTATTTTTTATTTTGAGATGATATCACTAATTTGATGAGGGTTTCACTAAGTTGCTGAGACTGCCCTTGAACTTGGGGTTCTCCTACCTCAGCCTCCCATGTTGCTGGGATTACAGGCTTGTGTCATTATTCCTGGCCTAAAATAATTTTTATGAAATACAGTTATGGATATTTCAACATATCTTCATTGATTAGTCAACATGTCTCAAATTACTTGAAATGAAGATGTTTTAGTCAACTTTTTCTGCTGTTGTGAGTAAAGGACCCACCAGCACAACTGTAGAGAAGGAAAGCTTTATTTAAGGTCTCATGGTTTCAGGGGTCTTAGTCCATAGAAGGCTGGCTCTATTTCTTGGGGCTTGAGGTGAGGCTTAATATTATGGTGGAAGAGTGTGGTAGAGGGAAGCAGATTAAATCGTGATTGGGGAGCAGAGAGAGTTTTCACTCTCCAGATACAAAATAAATACCTCAATGCCGTGCTCCAATTCCTACCCCCTCCAGCCACACCCTACCACTTCAATCACCACTGAGTTAATCCCTATCAGTGGATTATTTCACTGATTGGATTAAGACTCTTATAACCCAATCATTTCTCCTCTGAACCTTCTTGCATTGTCTCATACATGAGCTTTTGGCAGACACTACATCTAAACCATAACAGAACACAAGAGAGGCACAGGAGCTTCAGTACCCCTAGGGATTTTTTAGTTTGTGGAAAGATTGCTTATTATGGAGTTTCTGAGATTTTCTGGCATTAGACTAGCTGCTGTAGTCTAAATAAACATTTCTTAATTTTATTTTTTGCCATCTTAAATATGAGGAAGCAGAGGTTCTCATCTTTGTGACTCTTTGTTTTGAGACTTTCAGAACTAATCGTGTTGTGCTTTGTATCTCTTTTAACTCATGACCACAGGAAGACAGTGTCTCCCAGTTCCAACTCCATATTCAAGTTCTCTACTTGGCTGTCTAAACGACTTCTCAGATTTACCATGTTCCAGTCAGCGTCCTCTGTGCTCTTCCACATTTCAAGGAATGGCATCTCCATCTTTCCTCCAACCTCATCCGACTCAACTTCCCTATTTCAGTTGATAAAACAGCTCCAATCTGACAGTTCCTTGGCCCAAATGCTTTGGGGTTATCCTTACTTCTCTTTTTGTCACTAGCATGTGTAAACCCTTAGAAAATTGTGTCATTTATACCTTCAAGTTATAAACTGCATAAAATCACTTCTCAATGCCAGCATCCTGGTGCAAGCCAGTCTCTTGCTTGGACTATTTCAGTAGCCTCTACTGCTAGTTCTGCTCTTTCTCCCTTTGGTTTATCCTTAATGTGGGAGTCACTGTGCATACAAAATAAAAATCCAGCTTCCAATGAGCTCTGCTTTGAATGGAAAAGTGCTTACCATGGCTATAATATTCCCTCTTTTCCTTGTAACTTCACCTCCAACTACTTATCCCCCACCCATTTTCTCAGTCCAGATTGACCTCCTTTTTGTTGGTGAATCATTGCCAGGTGCAGTGCCAGCTGGGGGCCTCCTCAGAGGGTTTCCCCTCTGTCTGGTTATTACCCATCACATAACATGAGGCACACTTCCTTGACTTCCTCTAATCTTTACTCAGAATCTCATTATGAATTCTACTTAAAACATTTATCCTAAAAGACCTCCTTGAATATTTTTTTCTTTTTGTCCCCACGGCTTTGTCTCTTACATATTACATGTTTACTTTGTTTTCTGTATATCCTGTGGGTATTAGAATGGATATTTCTTGATGGCATCGAAAATTGTGTGAATCCCCAGAGCCTGGCACAAAATGGCAGTAGTTATTTGTTAAATGAATGAGAGAGGAAATGAGTAAATGCAGTTCCTTTATAATGTAGCTTTTACTTACCTCTTTTTGCCAGACTTCTACTCTAGCCATGCTGATCTAACTTGAAGTCATTTTTCATACTTTGCTCTCTCTCATTTCTATGCTTCTTGGAAAGCTGTTTTCCAATCCTGACTCTCACAACTCACCCTTTTTAACTTGCTTGAGGGCTCCTCAATTTCAAGGTAATAACTTCTTGGATAACACTTAATCTGGAAATATTAGCAGGCATTGCACTCTGTAGCACAGTTTATTCTGGATTAAGGGTATCCTCCCGGTACTGTCTGAACATCACCCCATACTTCTCTCATAGTACCTAATACATTGACTTTAATTCTACCATTTGATTCTCTATCCTCTCCATATACTCACATGAAGGGCACAAACCATGTTGTATTTGCCTCTGTAGTTCATTCTTAACATGGTTTTTGGTGGATCATGAAATGTTGCTATATTAATGGAATTGTGCTCACCACCAGTTTTATTGATATTTTTGCTTGAGGACCAGTGCCTAGGGATATCAGTGCATATTTCATTTATTATATTTTTTGTCTATGTTTTTAAAAATGATGTGCCAAACAAATCCATCTATAAACATACCAGAAATTTATTTTTAAAACTTGATGATTTATAAATAAAATGTGCACTAGCGAGACATAAAAATTATAAATGATGCATGAAGAACCCTTCCAAGGGAAAAAAGGGCACACTAATGGGTGATAGCAGAATAAAATTATATTATTTGAAAACATTAAGAGGAACAAAGTTTCCTACAATTAACTTCTATGTAATATTACTTAGAGTGTTCAGACATAATTATAGAGGATATACATTTGAAAAATCAGATTACTGTAATTAAAAAGCATAACCAACTAGCTCATGGCTCCATTTTGAATACAATGTTCTGTTTAGTTCCCAATGTCAATGCAGTCTTGGTTAATGAAAAACAGAAGTGGCCTTTATGGGCACAGGCTCTATTTTAAAATAATGAGGATAATTCAGCAAAGAGATTTATTTAATTAGAGTTTCTGACATGACAAAGCTGCAGATATTTTGTACTGCCTTGCTGCATTTTCAAATTACACCCAGGAATCAAAACTGATATGAAAATGTGGCACTATGCATCAACTGAAGAATACGAAATAATTTTACTGTTAATGCCTGACACTGGGCAAATGGAAGACTCTGATGTACTATGTGTGTAATGACACACATCTGTAGCGTGTAGTTTATGAAGTACATTGAGAGGTGAGATGGTATTGATCCCTGGCCTGCTGATGCTTATGTTTCTTCACTATGTGTCAAAACTCACATGTCTCTTTCCTATTAAAATTGTTGAGCTGCTTGTTTACAGCTTCAAGTGATAGAGGTCAAAGGTAGGAAGCCTGTGAATTATTTTATTTTATTTTATAATTTTGAGTCTTGAATTTGAAATCAGTGCCTAATCCAGTAACTGGTGTGTTCAGATGACATTCACAGTTTAAAGATAAGAAGTATTAAAAGATAAGATATTAAAGAAGAAATAGAATTTTAAAGATAGTTTCTAAATATTTGATGAGGTTATAGGAATGATTATCATAATGTAAATGTTTTCTTTTTTCATAAATATTGATTACTGTAGAGACTCAGGTATCACAAGAATAATAACATACAACCTCAAAAATTTAGGATAATTTTTTTGTTTACCAAAGTCTAACACTGTCATTCCTGGTCAGTGTGGGCATTTTCTCCATAATAATAATAATTCTCTCTCTCTCTCTCTCTCTCTCTCTTTCTCTCCCTCTCTCCCTCTCTCTCAAACACACACACACACACACACACACACACACACACACACAGCATAACATGATCAATATAATACATATGCAAACCATTTGCATTTTTAAACTACATTTTGTATTAAGGCCTGTGTTCTTTGCATTCAGCTTTCAGAAGGAAGATAGCATGGTGGGGGCTTGGTGATATGCTTTCAAAATGCTTAGCAAATGACCAACATTTTTTTGACTTGAATTTTGTATTCAGATCGCATGTGAGAATCAGTCAGGTCAGCATACTTTGACACAAAGCCTGAGAAATGTAGTCTGGGTGAAGAGTGCCTTTTTGCACTCAACACTGTGTACCGAAGGAGGAGAATGAATGTTGGCAATGAATGAAAGCCACCTTTGCCACAGTCAGCATAAGTCAGATGAAAAGGCCCTTGATGTCCATTCTAATAGTCAGTATTTAGTTCTCTCCACACTTCATAATTGCTTTCTAATGTGGGGTTAAGTGTTTCTAGTGTTTTGAAAATTAAGGTACTGGAAAGTCTTTCTAATCTACTGACAGGACTTCTATTCTTCAGTGTTCTGGTCACCTTGATTTTTGACACATACTAAATTTTCCCTGATCTTCTTGAAATGTGGGCCTACTACTCTGCCTAGTGCTAGATCTCATTATTTGTTACTATTAGGAAAATTCTAGAATTTACTTTTCTAATTTAGGATATTATAATTTTTAATACAATATAAGCTTACATTAGTTTATTGGGAGAGCTCTCAAAATTATTTGAGTTCATTTTGAGTTTGTGAGCAATAAGTACTTTCATATGACTTATGCATCACATGTTGACCCCGTTACCATTACTTTTGTGTTTACCAAATGCTTTGGTCTTCTGCTAAATATATTCACCTCCTGGCTTCACCATAGCTGTTCAAACTGCTCTGACACTCTCTACATTTGTTTACCTGCCTTTAGGACAGGCCATAACATAGGGCTATGAAAGGTGGCTTGAGGTGCTTGTCACTAACTTTCACATTCAACTATTGCTGTCCCTCCATTGTGTGATATGATTCTTCAGGTTTCCTAATAATGCTTCATACATGAATTTCACCTATAAAGGCAATCTAATTCACAATTACTGAATGATTTTTTTTTTTAATTTGCTTTTGTGGTTTTATTTGAATTATATAATTTTAAGTCTATGAAATTTGTTTTGTGTTTTAGATGTAATAGCTGATTCATGCTTACTACAATATGAACATAGACAACAAGGAAGTCAAAATTAGCTCAGATCACAACACCTAGAAATAAGTACTAGTATTTTAAAGACTAATCATTTGTAACTTCTCTCTATATGCACATACACACATAACATATAATGCTGAAGTGATAAGTAATATTTGTTCATCATTTTTATCTTAGTTGTGTTATTATTCTTATTATAATTGTTAATAATGATGCTACAGAGTCTGGGTGCTTTCCTGCTATAGATAATACTGCGATAAATATTACCTTCATGTGTTTCCTTTCCTCTTCATTCTTTTTGGTCAATGAGATTGAGCCTTCAATTTGAATTAGGTATGGCCTCAGTTTTGGTTTCACTCCTCTTGTTTTGGAGGTTGTCTAGAAATTATGGATCACATATTATTCATTCATGATAAATCCATTTTGTGAAGGAGAGTTTAGGCACTAGCATTTTACCAACATTTACAGAGTTCCTTCTACCCATTAATCAAATTTAACATTAATAAAATGAATGAAAAATATGACTTTTCATTGGAGACCTTACTTGCATTGAAATTTATATGTAAGAGAATTTTAATATTTTTATATATTATAAAACTATTTCCTACATGGTCTTGTCCCCCCCAAAAGATATATATATATATATATATATATATATATTTTAACATCCTATTTAAATTTCAATTTTCTATGATATTTCCATAGCCTACCCAAATAACACCCCAATTTAAAGAAAATGTCTTTAGTTAAATATAACTAGATGTTAGTCAATCCATGTTAATTACCAGTTTCCTTTTGAAAGTGCTCATGAACATATTTTAACAATACATTTAATAATTTTGCAGGGATTTGTATCTACTTAGTTATTTAGATGTTTCTGTAGCACATAGTTTTTCTATCTACAAAAACAGGTATATCTTTCTTCACTCTGATATACTGTGTTTTTGTTTGATTCTCAAATGTTACTGAGAATATAAAATTGTTTTGGAAAGGACACTGAACTCATCAGCCATGTCTCTGTCTTTGCTGGCACCATCCATCATTTATATTGGCTTCCTCTGTGTATACTCAGTAAAACATCAGGTTTATAACAGTGAGTAAAATAGACATTATTTTATATTATAGACCGTGTAATTTTGGAGAAAACTGACATTAAAGCAACAACTTATCAAATAAATTATAAGTTCCAACTGAAATGAATGAAAGGAGAGCTGTGGTGAGTGACATGGCCTGAGATTACTTGACTACATGTATCAAGTGGAATCCTCAGAGGTTTCCCTAACAGAAGGTTCAGCTGATTGCTCTAGGATAAGGGAAGTGGATGTAAAAGGGCTTGTGGTAGGAAGGAGTGTGCCACACTTCAATGTCAAGTGTTTTGGACTTTATCCTAAGAAAAGTACAAACTAATCCATAGCACAAATTATGACCTAAAACTCATTTTGTAAAAAAAAAAAAAACCCAATTACTTGTACTTGTAATTCAGAATAAAAATTATAGAATGCAAAAAGAGCTGTGGGGACCTCATTATTTGGTTTTTGAGATAATTGAATTAAAAAGGAAAAGTAGCTTAGATGAAGGTGGTTATAATAGTGGAGATAAGAAGTAGATGAATTCTATAGGTATTTGCAGCTGTTTGTTTGGTGGTAATAATTGAAAAGGCGTGGTGGAGTACGTATTTACAGATGCAGGAGAGGAAAGTGTCTAAGATGCCACACACAAGTTTTTGTGTAAGCAGACACTATGGACTTGGTTTCTGTTGCTAAAATGTGAAAAAGTGAGGGAGGACTAGTTCTTGGAAGAAAGGTCAGTGGTTTGAATTGGAGCAATTGAAGATGTCATTAGCCAGGTAGATGTGACATTTTGAAACATCAGAGTAATTTAGTCTAATGTGCTATGTAATGTCTTTAAATAGTTTTAAAGCTTTGCCATTCTTTTTTTTTTTTTTGGTACCGGGGATTGAACCTGGGGGCATTTGACCACTGAGCCACATCCCCAGCCCATGCCATTCTTTTTAAAATAAATATTTTAAAAGAGTTTGTTGCTCTTTGTTATCACTTACTATATTATAAAAAGAAAATGACTAAAGCATTTGAAAATATGCTATACTTTATGGGACTCCTTTTAAATTTAGTAAGTGTAAAGAGTGGGTTTTGATTTATTTGTTGGGTTTTTTTTTTTTTTTGGAGGATTTTTTTGCATCTTGGCAGGCAAGAAGTTGTAGAAATTTTTATGTTTTCCTGAGTAGATTATATTACTATAAATGATTTTCATTTGAATCAACTAAAATGGCAATTAATGGTCTAGTAAAAGTATCATGGTATTCTTTGCAGAGTGTAAGTATTTCTTAACAACAGAACAAATATTTTAAGAAAGATATTTAAGGGCTGGGGCTGTGGCTCAGCGGCAGAGCACTTGCCTAGCATGTGTGAGGTACTGGGTTTTATCCTCAGCACCACATAAAGAATAAACAAATAAAATGAAGGTATTGTACCCTTCTACAACTATAAAAAAAGTTTATTAAAAATTAGGAAAAACATTTAAAAAAAGATTATTTAAAGACAATGACTTCTTGTCTCACAAAATATTCTATGTTAACTCCAGTTGAAGATATTTTTATGATATGTTAAATATTTTATAGAAACCCAATATTTTATAGCAGCATTACTATGCTATATATGTATATATATCTGCTATATATTCTGAAGTACTTACTTCATTCTGATTATTTTCATTATTTGATTTGATTTTATCCAGATATCAACATGTTTAAGAATAACAGAGTCTTAGGATTTATGGAATATCTTTAATTGACTTCTCAATGGAGAATCCAGTAAAAAAGGGTTTGAAACTTTTTATCTCTGCCCTATCATTTTTAAACTAATGGTTCATTTTATTTACATTTATTATTAATATTAACAAAAAGAAATTAAGAAGGCTTTTTGCTGGAATAGAAATGAAAAAGCTGAAACAAAGTTTTCTCCTTTTTAATTTGTATGTTAACATTATTTTTAGGTTAGTATATTTATTTTGCTACTTCAAACATTAATTCAGTTTTAAAAGTGAATGGAATTTTCTCACATGTTTAAAAAACTAATATCTTTATCATTCTTTTCATAGGTCTCATATCTTTTGGGTGAACAGAAGTCTACCTTTATGGGGCTTACAGGTTGTGTACAATTTTGTTCTATACCTATATTTCTGGGTTTATTCATATTTCACAGAGAAATATTAGTGGAGAAAAACTGTTGATAGTGAAAGTGAGTTTGCTTTTCTGCCTAATCTTTATGCACATCGTACACTAACATTTTTATTCTTTCTTCCTGTTTTCCTGAGCTCTGCATTCTACCTCCTGAGAGTTTCCTGGTAATTAGGATTATACTTCAGAGAGTGTTTGAGAATGTGGAGAAAACTAAAAGTAAACCAGTATGTTAAGACTTCATGTTTTCCCAAGCTGCCTCCATATTCCTGCTTTGTAACTCCTTTAAAATTAATCAAAAGCCTGTCACCATGTTTAGTTTTTACCTTATATTCTCACTGTAACATGGTAGAATCTCAATAAATAGTTGTTAAATGAATGGATGGCTCATATCACCAATACCAAGAGCCTAGTTCCCAAGCAGACACTTGTGTTAATAAAACAAAGGTATGCTCTGGCATAAAAGAAGCTCTTAAAAAAGAAACAGAAAACACGAGAAAGCCAGCATGTCTGAATCGCATTGTTGAGGAGTTCCCTAGAGTTCCTTGTAGCTCTTCTGTTTTCTTTTTTTCTATTGGATTTCATGACCAGCAAACTTTTTATTAAGTGCTGTCTCCTCTACTTTTTGTGTACCTTCAACAAATTCTTTCAATTTCCTGTTAATTTTAAGAAGTATAAATTAATTTGAAAAATGGCACTACTACTATGAAACAGAATTGAGGTGGAAAGACAATTGAGGGAAATAAAAAGTCTCTGAGACTCACTGCTTTGAACAGTCTTTAGAATACTTTTGACTAAATGTTTGATTTGCCTTTTAACATCATGATTGTGAAGTGTATACACTTTATATGTGACAATTGTTTTAGTTATATATTGTGATCATAACTTTGAAATCTATCTTTATTATATCTAGATATTTCATATTTTGTTGAAGTCAAGTTGTTTTTATGTTAATATATACTGACTTTTGTTGCAATGTCACATTAATATATAAATAATCCTTTTCAAATATTTAAATGTTCAGTTAAAATGCTTTTAATCTCTGACCTAGATTCATATCTTTCAGTAAAATGCACTTTTTAAATAAATTAATGTATTTATGAATAGTCATATGTTGTCTTGAAGTATACTTTGATCTATCTACATAGATTTATTTAAGAGTAATATTTTAAACTGTACTCATTTGCAAATAACACTTTGAATAATGAGTGCTAAAAATGTTCTAGAGACCATATAGGAATATGAACATCTGGAAAATTTGGAAGACTTGGAGAAAATCATGAATTTCCTTTTATAATGATGCCTAGCTATAGGATTTATTTCCAAACATATTTTATTTACACTGCTATGAGTTCATCTACTTCTATTGTTCTCGTATTTTAATATTCACTTATATTTCAAATTTCCATTTTAACAGAAGAAAAATTTCAAACTCTAGGGTATCTACTTTTTCTCATTCAGATTATCTTAAATTTTATAGATCTATAAACAAATAGGATAGGTGAGTCATTTTCTGTTTATTTATTTGATTCTATTGGTCCATTTCAAAGTAACTAGAATATTTAAGACAGAATAACATACTTTTTTCTATTTTTTTTTCTTATTACAGTATTTTTCTGGAATTTAAACAGTAGAAATTGAACATACAACAGAGAATAGAGATAGGAATATGTCTAGCCCAGATGCAAAGCAGAATTGGTTATGAAATTAATTCAAATCAAATCTGAAGTCTCTTAAAATGCTGATATGGTCTATATTGTTTAATTTTCGAGGATGTTGCCATTTCATTTTATTTGAGGTGGATGATAGGATTGACTGTATCCAATTTGAAGTTTGTATTTTTTTGTTCCATTTTCTGAAAGGGATTGATGATTTTGGTGGTGCTATTGCTGGTGTTGCTGGAAAAGGATGTTTATTTGATGGCAGGGCAATTGTGTGTGATTTGTTTCTTAGGAACATACACATAAGAACCTATTCTTTACATATTATTTAAACTCTAGCCTGCCTTCCTATTCTAGTCCCACCTTTACATTTGGAATAATAAATAAAAATATATTTATTTAGGACATTAGAAATTAGAGAAACTAAGTTATAATGGTTACATGGCAAACTATGGCTGGGAAACTGCCACCTGCTTACATTTGTTGAAGTGCTAATAAATAACAACCTCTGTCTTATGTGTATGTATTATATATATTTATATGCACAAACACGTGTACATAATGCACATATATTTTATTGCATTTTTTCATTAAGTTACAATTTATATTTTAGGTATCAGTGGCATTGATAAGTCTATTTGAAACAATACTACTTGGTTATCTGAGTTATAAGGTAAGTTATTTTAATTAGCAATTTTCTGCTGTAGAGCAAGCATACTGCTAGTACTTGCCAAGTATTCCTCTTGTTATAATTCATACTTGGGGATAAGGCAGGCTCTTCTTAAACCACTTTAATTATTTTGAGCCTCTCTAGTATGCAGTAAAAAGCTATACTAATATAGTAAGGTTTTGCTTGATGACTTCAGGTACTTCACTAATTCCCGTGAGTTTACTTACCCATTATATGAATGCTTAGAGTGAGGCAAGCAAATGGAATTCTCTGGATTCTTATTGTTCTCAATCTCTTTTCCTAACATGTAAAAGATACTGAGAGACCAAAAATGTGTCTGTTAGGAATTATTTTAATACATTATCTTAATTACTAGTGAGGTTTTATTGGGCTAACACAATTTAACAAATATTTATTTAACTTGTATTTGATGAAGTTTGTGTATTTTTTTCATGCAGACCTCTACACTTTTACATGGCTCTTTTCTCCGTGAGTTTGCAACCTAGAAAAGGGGTGGGCAGAGAAAAATTACACAGATAACTATAGTACAAGGCAGATTATAAGAAGAATTTTCTGTGAGATGTAAGTTAAATACCATGAGGATTCATAGGAGAGGAAATACTTGACTGACAAGCAGAGTCCATGAATTAGTGATTTCAGTAAGGTAAGATGGAAAGACAGGATAATTGGGATTGGAAGAACTAGCAAAAGCTTAAAGGAATATACATATGAATTGGAGAAATGACAAATAATTATGTTTGGTTGGAATTTGAGGGTTTTGTATAGCGAATATCAGAGAGGTCACAGAGACATCACAGTGATGATTGCTCAGTTAAGACATACTGAAGTATGAAAGAAAAACCAACCTTGTGTTTTTGGTAGGCAAAATGAATTGCTAGATCTGATGAAAGAATATGAAGGTAGAAGCTAAAAAAAAAATCACCAACTCATTGGTTGATAAGTGAGAAGAAGTATACTGAAATGCCATTACCAAAGATTTTCTGAGTTTGAATGACTGGAAATATTGTAGACATACTTGAGAGTTATATAAAGAAAAAATGATAAAGTTGGGGCCCAGATAGATAAAACAATCAAACTGAATTCAGAAAAGATGAATCTGACATGCTGATGGATGAATCAAGGAGACATGAGATGGAAATAATGGAGAATGAGGACCAGGAAATTTCAAAAGAGTTATTTATTTAGGTTTGGCAGTGATTTTCAGAGAGTATTAACGGTAGTCATGATCTCATGCTTCGGATAGTTACTAAGGTAGAAGTTTATGTTCTGTTGATGGAGATGAGTATCTTATTTTGGTTTTGAAGGAAGTACAGAGTAAATAAGGATACAGGGCAATAGACAAGGAAGCTAAATTATTCAGTTTCATTGATAATTTCTTTACCTACATCAACAAGTATAGTAAAGGTCATATTTTTGTGGAATATTTTAGTCAACCTTTTCATTGCTGTGACCTAAACAACTCGAATTGTGTGTTTGGGGATCATGGTTTCAGAGGTCTTGGTCCAGAGATGGCTGACTCCATTGCTCAGGGCCGAAGTGAGATAGTATCTTACAGGAAAAGAACTCAGCTGAGGAAAGCTTCTTAGGTCTTTTCAGTGTTAGGAAGAAGCACCCTTCCACCTTGATCTTCACTCAATTTATCCAGTCACACCCCGAGTGCCTACAGTTACCACCTCCTCGTCAGTTCATGCAAACTAGGGTGGACTGATTTAGGTTACAGCTCACATAATCATTTCACCTCTGAATATTGCTGCATTAACAGGAGCTTTTTGAGAACACTTTATGTTCATCCTACAACAGAGTACTCTTATCACACATTAATTTCTTTTAAAAACAAGTTTAGAAGATGCATTCTTTAGATTATTTTACAAGCCAGAAGTTTTCATAGTCATTCACCATTTTCTTTGGCTCACTTATTTATATTCCTTTTAGTTTTTCTTTAATGACATTTAAAGAAAATAAGATCAATTTCTATGACAGTAAGGTTGATGAATAAGAAAGTGTATCAAAAAAGGAATGAGTGCTTAAACACTATTGAGGGGTTGATTTAAATATTTATGAGAAGAAATAAGATGTTAGAAATATCTGAAGAAGAAAAACATTATATAAAATTATATGAATTATGGTAAATGCAAGAAGCTTGAGAAAAATTTATTGAATTCAGAAATTAGGAGACTATTGACTAATCCCGCCAAAGACTATAGTTTTAGTGGAATGTCGTTCAAAGTAAAAATTGTGAAATGGAGAATGTTACTGAACTGGGGCAGGAGCTCACCAGAAGTAGTAGAACAACACAGGGAAGAACTTCTAAGGATAGGAACCATCTGCATTGTTTAAAGAAAGAAGGTGCAGAAAAGATAAAAATATGACAGAAATGAAGTTTAGGAAAGGAACAGAATAGACTTAAGGAATAGCTTTGAAAAGGCTGAGTACAGTACCAGGAGTGTCTAAAAGTTCTGGACTAAATCCTTTGCTTTATCAAATATTCCATTAGGGCATTAAATTTTCACAGTTTCACCTAGATATTAGATATTTCTGAGTTTAAAATATATATATATATATCTTTTCAAACATTCTAATCATTCACTTATCATGTTTCTCAAAAGAGTAGACTCACAGACATAATTTTTATTTCAAAAGTTAGTATAAGTGGTATATTTGTGGCTCAATTTAAGTTTATATATGTGCCCGACATTATGAACAATGGAAATGGAATTTATTGGGTTAAAGTTCCTTAATGTGAAATGTGTGATGAGTATTGAATGTAAAGTATAAAAAGTAATATATTTTTAAAAAACAGATGTGGGTATTTTGGATACATTAATTATATCTCTTCGACTAGTATAAGAATATTTGCAAAAACATACCATTGCCAAAATATTAATATTAATTTGTGAATGTATTTGCTCCAAATTCTAACTTAAAAGTAATATAAAAGTAACTTTCGGTGTTTTGCTAACAGAACTCTTGACATAATTTAAGAAGTCATTTAAAAAACACACAGAGATTCAAGATTATTTTCCATTGCAATTAGATGATGGCAGCATTTATAATTAATTACTTCCTATCATTTATAAAATGAAAGCAGATCATTATAAGCTTTAGCATGCAGGGCTAGATGATGTATAATATTTCCAGTCTGGCCCTCAACAACATTAATGGCTTAGATGGAGGAGAGGTAGATGGTAGAGTTGAGTAAGAGTTACAAAGGAAACATGGTAAAAAGGAGTTATATGACAGTAAAAGGACAAGTTATTGTTAATTATCTTCTTTTCATCTCATAAATTTAGTCAAATTCATGAACTCTTTTGACTTCTTCAGTGTAGTGTTAGCTAACTGTTTTTTTTAAGGAATAAATTAAGTAGTTGGTAATATTTTGTGGCCTACAAATAAGGCAAATTTGGATAGCAGAATCTAAAGTGTATTTTTTTCCTCGACTTAGTTTACTAAGAAAAATAAGACAAAAATTGATATTGCTTTTCATTAACAATTGCATCTTGGGCTGGGGCTGTGGCTCAGTGGTAGACTGCTTGCCTTGCTTGTGTGAGGCACTGGGTTCAATCTTCAGTACCACATAAAAATGAAATAAAGCTATTATATCCACCTATAACAAAACAAAACAAAATTAAAATAACCCATAAAAAATAAGAAAAAAATTGCATCTTTTCCTAATACTGTTTCTTGTTAGATTTATGAGAAATCAATATTAATAGCTAGTCAACTTATACCTTTCTTATATTTATGTGTATATATATGCATGTAGTATATATTTAATATTTTAAAATAAATATAACATTATGCCAGAACTTGGTAACTCTTGAAATTAGAGGTTCTAACATCAGCATAACTCAATCTTTGATACTTAAAACAGTTTAAACTCTCATGGAGGCTAAGAATGAAATTAGCAGAAATGTAAATAAAGTACATGCTGAAATTTGCAGATAATGAATTAAGATCCATGGAATTAACTAATTTCATTTTCTATCAGACAGAACTTCAGGTCTGTGCTTAAATAATCTTTCCATTTATGTTTATAGCTAGTTGGCAAAACAACTATAGTAATTGCCCTGCACTAAAGTTCTTATTCTTCTGCCACCATAAATACCCTCTAATTCTTTTATCAACTGCTTTCAAAATAGAACTCTATTTATGCACACATATTCATTAAATGAAAAGGAAACAAAAACAAACCCCAGCACAGTTTCTAAACCTCTGCAAACAGAAATTCATTATACCTAGTCTTTTGTTAAATCTATGATTGTTTTTTCTATAATCACTCTTAAAATGCAATGATTGTGAAAATTTAACACCATAATGGCTTATTTCTGATAAAGCGAAGGATTTAGTCTAAGACTCTTTGACATTCTTAATGACAATAATAGAAACTATATTGTGTACACACACACACACATACACACACACACAGAGTGAATCAGCAATAGGAAGTTTAATATAATGTAGTAATAGTTTTATTTTAGAGCTTCAGTCTTATCAAGCACTGTACCAGGAATGGAGCATACCATTCGTAACATACACTGGTGCTGACTCTCACCATATGGATTTAAAAATCTGTAGTGTTGTAATGTTTTTGGTGTATAAAAACAAACTGAAAGAAGAGAAGTGAAAGAAATTGATGTAGAACTGGGAGGGCTGGCATAGACCTGTAATCCCAATAACTCTGAAGGCTGAGACAGGAGGAGGATTATAAATTTGAGGCTGGCCTCAGCCATTTAATGAGGCCCTATGCAACTTAGAGAGACCCTGTCCCAAAATATAAATAAATAAATTAATTAATTAATAAGGGGCTAGGGATGTGCCTCAGTGGTTAAGTGTAGGAGGATTGTAAGTTTGAGGCTGGCCCAGCAATATAACAAGACCCTAAGCAACTTAGAGAGACCCTGACCCAAAATAAATTAAAAAAAATAAGAATAGAAAGGGGCTGGGGATGTGGTTCAGTGGTTAAGTGTTTCTAGGTTCAACCTTCAATAAAAGGAAGGAAGGAAGAAAGAGAGGGAGGGAAGGAGGGAGGGAGGGAAGAAGGAAGCCTAATGTGAAGAGTAGATCTTGCTTACAGTGAGTATGGAGTATGTTAAGGCAAGTTTCACAAAACTTGAAAGACTCTCAATTAAAAGGTAAAAGGTGTGTGTGAATTAACTGCAAAACAAAAGTTTCTTGAAGAATTATATTCAAAGAAGTTTTTGAAGGCATATTTTAAGGAATAAAAAGAGTGTGGAAGAAATGACTTTTCAAATAAGGGTAGAGAGGTCAGCAAGAATGATGTAGTGCATTTCTAGTTGTAATAAGACTTCTGTCTTTTTGTTCTTGAAGTGTGTTACTGGTTACAGAGTTTTGAAGTGAGTGGTCATTGGGTGGAGTGAGGGTATTGTATTGGTTGTTAAATGCCCCTTTTGAAATATAATCCACTTAATAATGCAGGATGTGAGTAGGAATGGGGCAAGAATGAAGGGACAAATACTAATTAGGAGGCTTGAATAGGTCAGAGTGGGAATTAAATGAGAATAAACATTAGAAACTTTCAAGATCTATTTACAAAATGTACGTTTGTTTGGTAAACTATACCTAGGTAGCATGTGAAAGGAAGAGTTAAGGGCTTCTCAAGGATATTTGGTTTGTGTGTGCCTGGGAAACCAGGCAGGAAAAAAAGCATAAATTTTGCATTTAGGTATAAAATCCTTTTGAGGCATCCATGTGAAACAGTGGATTAGGCAATTGATCTGAGTTAGAATCTCAGAAATGAAATAGTGTTTGGAGCAAGAGGTACAATATTGGAAGTTATAGGGTTATCAGTAGTTATAAGTTGCAATTAAAACGTACATGAGAATACGTAATGTGGGTATACAGATAAGAACTTCTACATGCTTTCTTCCAGAAAATTTCCATTGAAATCTGGTTACAAGTTTAATAATTTATACATAACTATATTCAGGAAGTTTTTAAACAATTGTTTTCCATTTGGAACCATTATAAAGGAATATAAATACTTAAGATCAAAAATAAAATAAAATAATTGTATTAAAGAAGGGGAAGAGGATGTATAAAATATTTGGGAGTTTCACTTATCAATTTAACTATGTAATTGAGCCCCAAGTGTATAAGGAAATGAGTTCAGTAAAATGTTTCAAACACTTGCCAAGGAGATTAGAGGTGAAGGTTTAGGAGTAAAGCTTTCTAACCAGAGGCAGAAACATGTTATAAAAGTATGAAAAGACCTACTGTGTCCAAGGAACTGTGTAAAACTTAATATGGATGAATCTGTGGTTGAACTCAGAGAAGGGTTAGAAATATTGCACATAGACCGCATCAGTAACCAGAGCTCAAATTGTGAAGCTTCGCAGAATATAATGAGGAATTTGGATTTTATTATCTCAAGAATGGGAATTTGGTATTTCAGAAAGAATCCTTTGCCTTTAATATGGAAGATAAATCAGAACTGAAATTACTTAGTCATATACCATTATAGGACATTTCTAATGATTCCTTGTAAAAATCAGAAAAAAAGAGATTAATATAAGTGGAAATGAGAAGACAGAGGAAAGAAATAGAAAATATTTTATTTCCATTTGTCAAAATTGCTAAGAAAGTTTTTCAAATCCCTATACCATCCTTCTCATACATGCTACTGAGATGGATGATCAATGTATGCAAAATTCAAAATTCTCATCCAGTTCGACTTTAGCATGTCCTCAGTTTAGATCATTATGGGGCAGAGAATCTTCATGGGAGCTATCTGTCTCCTCTTTCATTTCCTCACTTTTTTTGATGCCTACTGATATGGGCCTCCAAGGACAAAGGAGGAGCAGGAGTAAAGTGAGATCTGTATTTGGGATGAAGTCACTTGTCTGGCGGTTGTAGTCTGGTGTTGGGTTGCGCTGCATGATGAATATCAGTACTATTTTTTTTTTCTCTGGGGGGTGTTTTGTGGCTCTTCTAGGACCTTTGGTTGAAGTTCCCTAGAGGCTTAATGACTCAGGCTAGTCACCAGAACTCTGACACAGACCTTTGGATTCTGAGATCCACCATTTGTTGAGGTACCATTTCACCTTCATCCACACAGAATCTGAATGTAATCCATTTCAAAAATGACCCTAGTTTTCATTTTTCAGAATATGTATCTGGCTTTTATAAAATAGGCACTTTCATTTTAAAATTGGAGGAACTGTGGCTTGCTGTCATCACTGTTCTCTTTATTTTGCTCTTCTGATTTTTCATGTTTTAGGCATTACTGTATACAATCTCATGTCTAAGTCAAACTCACTCAGTGATCTCCTTGATCCTTTTCACTTAACTTGAGGTGATGGACCATAGCACCTGGAACATCTTCATACAGAGGTTCTCCTAAATAACTTTCCTCCACCTGTTCCCTATGTATCACTTTTAATACACCCTGGAGAAAGGTGATGAACTAATGCCAACAAAGCCTATCTGACTACATAGGTCATAGCTGATCTAGAACCTTGCTTTGGGTTGTGGAAGTGTTTTATATCACTATATTGTTTTAAGCTATTGGGATTTCAAGGAAAACTTAAAAATAATCCCAACTTTATATTACAAGGTAATTGGAATTTATATGGAAGCCAGATTTCTAATTGCTTTTCCAAAACATAGATTTCATAGAAGAGAAAACTCCTTTAGGAAATTCTGAGTTCTTTATTATTAGTGAGAATATTAGTTTGATTTCTGTTTTTGTAACAAGAAATCTAAATCTGGGTGCTTTATTTATCTTAGAGTTTTAGAGACTGAAAGTCTAAGATTGGGTGCTGGTATGTGTTCAGTTTCTGACAAGGTCCTCACAATGGGCGACATGACCATTTAGGGAGCACATGGGGAAGAGATCACATGGTGAGGCAGGAAGCCAGAGATATCCAGAGGCTGTTTTTTTTTTTTTTTTTTCATAAAAACTGCAGGAACTAACTGGGGTTACACAAGAACTGTATCAATCCCTTTGGAAGATGATGTCCTATGACCTAATTTCCTTCCAGTGGTCCCCACCCTTAAGGATCCCACCACCTCTGTTTCCCACACTGAGAATCAAGCTTCCAAGATATGAACCTTTGGGAGACATACTCAAGCCATTTTCAAACTGTGACAGCCCCATTCAGGAAAGTGTCAGTGATTATCTTAAAATCAGGGTCATTAAACAAATTAAATGTACAAAAAACAATAAAATTAAAAAAAAAAAAGAAAAAAAATAACAAGTGTTGGTGAGGATGTGAAGAATTGGGAACCCTTGCACATTGTTGATGGGAATGTAAGTACAGACATTTTAGAAAACTGTGTGAAGTTTCTTCACAAAACTGGAAACAGAACTACCACGTGACAACAAAACCTTGATCTTGTGTATGTAGTCCTCAGGAAATGAAATCAGGATGTCAAAGAAAGTTCTATATTTCCATATTCACTGTAGCATTCTTCATAATAGCCAAGTTATGTCAAGTACATAAGTGCCATTAGCAGAGTAATGGATAGACAAAACCTGGCACATATACACAGTGTAAAATTATTTAGTCATGCAAAAGTGAAATCCTGGCCATTTGTGACAACATTGATGAAACAGGAGTGAAATAAACCAGGCACAGAAAGACATATTCATGATCTCACTCTTGTATGAAATCTAAAAATGTTGGTCTCAGAAATTGAGAGTAGAATGTTGGTTACCAGAGGATGGGGAGAATTTTGGGGAGGGAGAGATAGGGAAAGTTTGAATGGCTAGTATGTTACAGTTAGAAAGGAGCAAGATGTTCTGTTGTGCTATTGTACAGTAGGGTAACTACAGAGAACCATAATATATTGTACATTTCAAAAGCTAGATGAAAGGATTTTCAAAGTTTTCACCAGAAAGAAATGATGTTTCAGGAGATAGATAAATTTTACCCAATTCAAACATTATACAATGTATACATGCAGCAAAATATCACATGATTTTAATATGTATAATTTTTATTATGAACAGGTTAAAATTAATTAATTAACATAAATCCACACAATGATAAATTCAAAAATTAAAATCAGAGTCAGCTTCATGGACACGTTATCCATGTATTTGCACAGGGCTACATGACTAGAAGTAGCCACACGTCACTTCTTGAAATTGATAAAAATTTGTTAATAAGAGGGCCTGTACATTCATTTCACATAGGGCCTGCAAATTATGTATTTGATTTTGATTAATATCATACTACATGGGTTGGGAGGTTAGAATGTAGGTGATTAAAAAGGTTTTTCCCTTAAATTTGATTAAAGTAAAAACAAAATACCAACAATTGTTAGGAAGCACATGTGTTTTACAAACTACTTAATATATGTTACAATGAGTGAATGTAAGTATTAAAATAAAAAGACTGAGTCACTTTTTAAATGATTCTGTAGGTTTTATTTTTACAAGTAAATTTTCTTCCATGATAAGCTATTAGATTGAAATGTTATGTGTAATATTCATAAATTCCTATGAATACATTGGGAGAGCACAACAACATGTAAAAACATAATCTCTAAGCTATTGCTACATCTCTGCATTGTGACCAGTAACTTTTTAACCTTTTTTTACTAGAGAAATTCTGACTACTGTTTTTTCTCCTTTTAATAGGATTAAGTATAATTGACTTTCATTTTTATTAATTTCTTTCTTGGAAGGGAAACATCTGGGAACAGATTTTAAGAATACCCTTCATCTTGGAAATAATTAATGCAGTTCCCTTCATTATCTCAGTAAGTCAAAAAATCTTAGAGAATAAAATTTTTGTTATTAAATTTAAGCAAATTATTTAACTGCTTTTATATAATATTGTAGCTGAGATAACTGGACTTAGACTTTGGTTAAAATCATCCTACTAAAAAATAAGAAGTCATTTGGATAATGAATTGTTAATTCAGGGAAATCTAATGTAATTCAGTGCAATAGCAAAATGGAATTCTAGAAATTTATATTTGAACAAATGTCAATATTGTCTGAAGAGACTCAAAATTACTTGCTCCATTTCTTGTTTATGTGATGGAATTTAAAAAATAGAAACAAGCCGGGTGTGGTGGCACATGCCTGCAATCCCAGTGACTTGGGAGGCTGAGGCAGGAAGTTCATAATTTAAAGGCCAGTCTCAGCAACTTAGTGAGGACCTAAGCAACTTAATGAGACCCTGACTCATTCTAAAGGTCTGAGGATATGGCTCAGTGGTGAAGCACTCCTGAGTTTAATCCCCATTGCCCTTACCCCCACAAAAGAAATAAATTAACCTGTATTTCTACAGGTTTCTCATACTGAGAACATATTTATCACTAGTTAACTATAGGATTTACTAAGTCCAAGTGTCTCTTTAATAAGAAGGTTGCCAAGAAACAGATAATAGTTTGTTCTTTATCAAGGGACTCTCCAATCCCTATTACACAGTATTAACCTATTCAAGTGCAATCCTACAGATATGTAACCCATAAATTCCACGTTTGCAAAATTAGTTTTTATTTATTTATTTATTTTTTCAAAATTAGTTTTTAATCTCAATTTGATGTAATGCCTATAGGGATTATACTTTCTAACACTATTTGAATTTTATTTGGAAAATTTTGAAAATAAGTAGATATCAGTTTTGGCAGATAATTTAATTTGAGTGATTTATTTTCAGAAGGAAATGAAACTAGATTAAATGACAAGCTAAATAACTAACTATATAAATATAATTTCTACTGAATGTAGTTTTCCAATGTTACTTGAAGTAGTTCAGTCTGAAGACAGTCAGTGGTAATGTTATAAAAGACTAAGCCTTCTCTCCTGGTTGCTGCTTACCATCTTAGGTAAGAGGAAGAGAGAGCCAAAGTCTTTTATAAAATCTAACACTAAAAGATTTAATAATAGAATTAGCATAGTTATATCTGACATCTAATGAGCGCTTATTATTTTCTTTCTGCTTCTGTAATAATTTCCCTAAGAAAGACTTAGACAATGAATGAAAGATCATATCTCCTCCTTGAGTTTCTTTAATAATGAGTATAAGGCATTTACCTTGTTTTAAATCATTGCACAGTCTTTAATAATTTTATTCTGTTTTGCATTTCTTTTTTAACCTCCTAGGTGTAACTTCCTGCTTTGAGATTAAAGTCAGTTTTTGTTTGTTTTTTTTAGATATTCTGGCCTTCCTTGAGGAATTTATTTGTTCCAGTATTTCTAAACTGTTGGCTTGCCAAACATGCCTTGGAAAATATGATTGTAAGTATAAAAGTGAAGCACAAATAGAAAAATATTTTTAAAACATTTACTATTTCTTACTTATTTTTAGTGATTAAGCAGAAACAGATGATGTTTTTGGATCCGATTTTGCACTTTTCCATTATTCCTTTTCCCATAAAATATAAATTATATGGAATGTATTTAATTATAATTATTTTTTCAAATGTTTCATTTTTAAACATTTTCATTTGGTGTCAGCAAACAGTTCTATTTGAATGCTTGTAATAATAAACTATTGGGTGAAGTATTGTTAAATAATTAAAGTGATATGCAATACAAATATGTATGTTGATTGAGTTTAAATACCAGTCTGCTATATGCTGATCAAGAGGAAAACTTATAAAATGCCTATATTGGCTAGTTACTACCTTTGTAGGGCTTAGTAAATAAAAATGGTTCACATTTTTTGGATTTCATCAAACCTACACCTAACTGCTATTGGACTAGTTCAGTTGGGTAGACAATCTTCTGAACACAAATGCCCTTCTTTTCCAAGGCCATCTCTTTACATACAATGGAACTCCCGGTTTTAAGAATTTAGGGAAGTGATTTTGCTAAATTTTCCTTAATTGTAGGTAGTTTTGTGTTCCATGAAAATCTCTGGAGTTTTGTAAAAGCCCTGTATCAGAGCTGGAAACCCTTTAGTTAAAGTTTATTTTAGATTTGGTGGAGTTGGGTTTTGTAAGGGATTTTAGGAGGGAGAAAAGTAAATGAGGTAGAGATGCTTAATTCAGAATTGTGCCATAGTTGCATTTTACCCAAGGCTGACCTTGTTTGGAAAGAATGGTTTAAAACTATCAAAATGTATTTCCCATCAACTTCAATACTTACAAGTGAGCTGTAAGACATTTGCTATTTAGTCATTCATTATACGAATGTTAGTATGGGCCTTCTTGTGCTGTAAATTCTAATAGGCAAATGATTTTAACTTCTTTGCTAATACCTTTGTCTGCAAAAGAAAATAAGAGCACCTACATTACATAATTGCTGCAAAAGTCAAATGCAGTTATATATACATATGCATATATAGCATGTTTGTGTGTGCATAATCTCGTATCTGGCATGAATTGAATAAGGGATTAATAGTATTATTTTTACTGTATTTAAGTTATAGTTGTTTGGAAACAAACTTGCTTTTCATGTAAGTGGTCTTGAACCAGATAATATGACAAAAATTTTGGCCAAAAGGAATATTTGAATAACACTTACATATTTGTTACCAGATAAATGTTTCCAAACATTTATATCAAGTTACCACTGGAATCTCATGAAAGAACATGAACAATGGGAGAGAGAGTATGGATTGTGGTCTGTAGAAATATTCGACTGTCTTAATTGTCCCCAAGAAATACTATTTGACTAAATATAGCTTGCTAAACTTGCTAATGAAAAATATACATGAGGAAAAAAATCAATCTTTTGTTAATTACTATGCAATTAGTTGTTGGAAAAAATAACCTAACCAAAATATGAACAATTAATCAGTAATTGAGAAAAAAGAACTGTGTTACAATATTAATTTAGGATTTATTTTCCATTTCATTCTATATTTTGTTTCACTTTCTCTCACTGGATGCTCAATTTTTATCTGCTTTTCTGCTCATTAACACCTCTGCCATAGGAAACTTTTAAGCATTGAGAGATGAGATTCTAATCAATCAATTTAGTTATTTGTTTTCATAACATTTCTGTTTAAGTGGATGGTAAAGGACAATAAATAATGACTCATTGAGGTTCTTTTATAATTGGTGAGCTTTTGTCATACTATACTGATTTTAAGACTGTTAAAGTCTTACACAAAATTTGAGATGAACTGAAAGCTACAGAGTAAAAGGAACAAATAAAAAATTGAATACAACAAAAAAGGTGAAATAAGAGGAAAAAATAAAAAAAATACAAATCTACCAAAGTAATTCATAGTAACTTCAATATTTCCAATATTTGTTATGTAAAAAAACAATATCATTATAAAATCATACTGTGTGTTTGTTTTGTATTTAGAAATTGTGTCACCCACTCACTGGTATCTAGTGGACAAGTTGCCATGCTATTAAATGTTTCATTTCAAATCATTTTTAAATGTATGTGTCTATTTTATGTATATTGATTAATTTATCTAACATTTTGTTTTTCATATTTTAATAGTAGTAAATATTCAGTTTTCATGTCATAATTTTATAATAGAGATGAACATACATAAATATTGGTACCCATCTCATGATTTTCATACAATTAAATTTGAGAAAATATGGGATTATGAATGAATGAATAAATTGAATGAGTGAATAAATAAATAAGTGCATGAAATAGAAAGGACATAATTCTGAGTTTTGAGCCTATGCAACCAAATTGCCTATCAGAAATTTGTAAATAATTAACTGAGTAGTATTGTACATGTACTCACTTCTTGCACCAAAAGCTTAACTGTCTCTGTTATACTTTACTGTCTACATATTATGAAGGTAAAAATGTATCTTGATTCACATTTCTCCTAATATTAGTATCAATGATATTTAAATAATTTGTTCATTGAATGATTTTTTCTTTGATAAAACTCCTACCATAATTCATGTCATATATTTTTAAAGAATGAGCTTTTATTGCAGCTCTACCCAGTTATTACTGCCCCTTTAGTTGGACATAGTATTTTCTGATTTTTGGAAATTTGAATTTTCCATGCAAGATTATCATTACCATTGGGGTGTTTTGGGAGTAGTAAGTGCAACATCTGTGCAGATGTCTGCAAGGCAAGGAAGCTAAAATTTAGTGCTTCAGTGACCTTTACATACTATTACTTTGTAATATAGGTTCTATAGTGAGTTATATAAAGATATAAGCAAAACCAAAATATGTTAATAAATCCTTTAAAAGCATATGTATTAGGTATACAGAGGACAGAAGATAGTAGAAATATAATGAATAAAAATAAATCTCATTAAACTCATGCCCATTTATTATTTATCAAAATGTTGCATTATGCTTTTTTCCTTATCATTTTAGAATGATCTACATAGAGCCATTCAGCGTACGCAGTCTGCAATGTTTAACCAAGTTTTGATTTTGATATCTACGTTACTATGCCTTATCTTCACCTGGTAAGATTGTACATATCGGACTTTTTAAATGTTTCATTTAATTATAGTTTTTAAAGGAAACCCTATTTTAAAGTATTTTATTAATAGTTGGCTAAAAATAAGCAAACATGTATTCACCATGAAATACAGCAGGCCTCTTACAGAAGTAAAGTAAAATCATTCCTTTAGTCTTACAGACAAAACGGAGAGCACATATATTATTTGGTGTTGATGTTTACTGCATGTCTGACATTTTCCCATATGTTGTAAACAGTCAAATTACAAGAATTTGGACGGCATACTGTACTTGTCAAACAAGAATTTTCTTTCCAATCACTGACATAAAGGTGCCCTAATCCTTTGACATTCTTCAAAGCAGAAACACTGTTGAGAAAACTGTCATTGCCTATCAGTGTCTCTGCCTCATCTACAAGATGTTTTCTTGTGCAGTCAGGTGGAAAGCAAGGGCAGATCTCCTGACAGTGCAAGGCACGCCCTGGTATTTTGCTTTATTCCAAAAAAAAAAATTAATTTGCTCTTTTGGAAGTCACACTTTGACAATTATTGAGTAATCCGTTGTGCAGTGCTATATTGCACATATGGAGTCATGCTGATCCTCAGCAAGAGAAAAATATGTGGCCATCAAAATACAAGGTAGAATAATGTCTCTTTTGTAGGAGTTGTGGATTTCTGGTGTAAATGCTGTGCAGTGGATTTGGATAACATAGGTATGGTAACTAGTTTGCATTAGTAGTTTGTGCTTAATATCAATATGGAATGTACGTCAGGTGTGTTTTATTGCCTTATTTTTTATTGAAAAATAAATATTTTGTGATATCTAATATGTAAATATAAAGTGTCCATCTAAATTTTACACAGCACCAGCTTTTTAAAATCTTTCACAAATTGTCTTTATGCTTCATCCAGTAAATATCTAATTGAATAATATGAAACACTAAAAGTGATAACTTTCTTTCTAAAGTCACTAATAATTCTTAATATCCATGTAATGAAATTACTTGAATCACTTAGGAGTTTTCTTATCTTACATGAGGAAAATTATTTGAAATTATGTATGTACAGTATATATATGTTAATTTTTTAGCTGCTTAATAATTACAAAAATTAAAATTAATGATTTATAGGTAAAATGTGGGAGTCTATTAAAATGAATGTTGTAAAGAAATAATTGTTTGAGGGGGAGCAGCTTAGTGTTAGAGAGCTTGCTGAGCATGCACAAGGTCCTGGATTCAATCCCCAGCACTGAAAAAAAATTTTTAAAAAATATTTAATACCCAAATGAAGATAAATTATTATTATTATTATTTTAAATATATTTTTTAGTTGTAGATGGCCACACTATCTTAATTTTTATTTATTAATCCTTATGTGGTGCTGAGGATCAAACCCAGGCCCTCACACATACAAGGCAAGCGCTCTACCACTGAGCCACAACCCCAGCCCAAGATAAATTATTTTTATATCATGACACTAAGTAGTACTTTAGTTCTGGAGATATCTTCATTATAATAAATCTTCATCTAGAGTAGGTTTTCTCTTTACTCCCACTTTCTGCCTAGTACTTCTAGTTGGGTAGGTTTTTATTTTCGGAGAAGCAACTAGATACATTTTGCCACATTTTTATGCCAAGGGATGCAACAGCCCTAGAGTAAGGTTTTCACTATGTGAAATTTCCACTGTGTAATTTCTTCATCATTGAGTAATTTTTTTTGCTTTTATTTATTGTTATAATTGCTGTTATTGTTGTTGTTTGTGTATCAGTTTTAGACCATTGGAGGTTTTGATATGTGGACATATCTCTTGTAAATGTCATTGATATGTGGACATATCTCTTCTGTGCAAGTCATGTGAAGTTTAACTGAGTAAAATGTTATTGTTTTTAATCACATGCTTATTAATACATTCTTAAATTATGACATCTCCTGAAAGCACCTGAAAGGGAATACAAAAAAAAAAAAAAAAAAAAAATGGAGGCAGAACTCATGGATAAGTGATGCTTTATTGTGCACCTGAGGGGTATGTCTTTGTGGGGAAAATGGCAGCAGGCCAAAGGAGGGTCTGGGTTTTATAGCAGAACCAGCCCATGGGAGGAGTTAGTGACTTTGGTAGGCCCTTTTGAGGGGCAGTGGGTAGATCCAAGTCATGGGAGGAGTTTTGGTGGCAGGGTCATTTAGGGCGGGGCAGGAGGGCAGGTAGGGGATTGGGAATGTAAATTCTTTCTGGGATTATTTTTCATATCCTCTATCCAGAATGGAGAGACTGAGGGCAGATTTATTTGTTTATTCTTCTCTAGCATTACAATATCTTCATAAATCATAAACATCGTGATATAGAAGAAATCATAAGATTCACAATTAAAAGTGCTATTATCTGTTAAGAAGGGTATGGACAGTGTGATTTTAGTCATAATATATTATACAGGGTGATTTATTAAAGAGTTACACCATGTGGAATATAAAGTATAAATAAATAAATAAATGCATCTGAAACAAACAGAAACATGTGGGCAGTTTGTCTAGGATTGGTATATTAACTTGAAACTCTTGAGGACTGAATTTTCACATATGTTGTTTTCAGCCATTCTCAAAATGTGATTTCCATCTTATTGGTTCAAGATGGCTGGTTCTACCCTTGCCATTACATCCTAACTCCAATCTTTGGATGGAAAATAAGATGTAACTGAATATTTGCATGCATATTTTAGGCTAGAATTCAGTTATGTATCTACGCATGACTGATACAGAGTCCCTGCAAAAATGTGGTCTAGCTAGCCAACAGTGTGCCCGTTTGAATTTTGTACTATGACATAAAAAATAAAAACTAGATATGGTAGAGCAATTAAGTCTTTGGCACTGACAAGTCATAAAAGTTCATGTGTTATTAGTTGTTTAAAACTCAAGGCTATCATAGTTTGGTGCCCTTGAACAACTTTTGTACATGTCATAAAACAATGATAATATTAGTCACCTTACAAGTTTTTTTTTAAAAATAGGATTAAATTACATATGGTTATAAACTGTATTTGATTTAAGAATATAAAAATAATATAACATAAAACTACTAATAATACTATAAAATTTCATAATTCTCTCTATAATGCTATAAAACAGAATCACAATGCCTAAAAAACTATTTAACAAGAAATATGAGAAAACAGCTTTATCCACTATATTGTATTCCAGTTTGTCCTACATATTCTGAGATTTTTTTCCCTGCATTTATTTCCCCTCACTGAAGTAAAATGGTGATCTCTGTCTTTAGTACATTCAATATCTATCTATCTATCTATCTATCTATCTATCTATCTATCTATCTTTCTATCTTTCTTTTTATTTATTTATGGTTACCAGGGAGTGAACTCAGGGGCACTTGACCACTGAGCCACATCCCCAGCCCTATTTTGTATTTTATTTAGAGACGATGTCTCACTGAGTTGCTTAGCACCTTGCTGTTGCTGAGGCTAGCTTTGAACTGGAGATCCTCCTGTCTCAGCCTTCTGAGCCATTGGAGATTACAGGCATGTGCCACCATGCCCAGCCATTTAATATCTAATATTTCATAAACATAGCATCACAACGTACTCATGGCCCTAATCTTACTGGTTAGAACAGTTTCTTTATTTGACCTAATAATAAGATGACAGGTAAATTCAAGGACATGTAAATAGGGAATGGTGTTACACAGCAGACTATATAAAAGGGGAGTGCTTTGTAAGGTTAAAAGTTTAAACAAGTGTTTGGACTATTTAAGCCTATTTCTCCTCAGAATGCACATTTCATCCTTTTTTTTACCCTCCCTTTCTGAAAATTGAGACATATGCCAAGTCAGAAATTAATAACCTAATTCCTACCTGAGCTATGAAATTACATACCCCCCATATGTTATAAATAATTGCTGTTACATTATACCAGAAAGCAAGATTGCAAGACTCTCAATCAGAACATTTATTATATACTTTTTAATAATTCCAGACTGAATAATTCAGGAGCTAATATTTGGATGATTGATTATATTATTCATGAATCTCACAGTCTTAAAATTACCTGTTTTTAGAAAGCTGCTATATAGTTTTAAAATGTATCTTTTTTTAATCATTATTAGCATGACAGAGAACTGTCATTAAGCATCTGCCTATGAGGGACACATGCTCAATGCCAAACTGAAACAGAAATTAAGCTGCTGACCCACTCTCTTCAGGAAATGTGCTTAGAATTGTTTTTCCTGTTATTGTAATGGAATTGGACTAATCCATCTACATGTTGGCTCTATACCCCTTGTGATCAATAATGCTCATTCCCAAGACAGCTGCAAATTGTGATTCAGCCTGTGTCTCTGAAACAAAGCAGAATAAACTGGTACATCCGGGAATTAAGTGCAGGACTTTAGCTTAATTATCAACATATTCTAACCAATAATAAGTACCATAATTTATAATGCATTTGGTGTTTCTAATTTTGTACTAGGATTTATTTCATAAGTACTCTGTTTCAAACTTTAATTTTTTGTCTGAATTAATATGTAGACATAAATTTTCATAATATTTTTATACAGTTATAAAGATAAATATTTTCTATTGTAGTTAAGTGTAAAAATTCAGTTCAGTTTCTCAGTCTTATTTCAACAGAAAATAAATCCACCTGTACTTTAAAATATGACCTAGGTAAATATTATTTACATGCTTATTCAGTAGTATTTGGAATTTTCTTATGCATTGATTAACAATTATTTGAATGCTGGATGCTTAAATTCTTGAAGTAGTCTACTTTTATTGGTTCTGCTTTTTAAAATTTAATTTTTAAAATTGTTTCTTTATAGTTATACATAATAGTTGCATGTATTTTGATAAAATTATACATGCAGATTCTACTTTTAAGGCAAATTACCACTTGTGAAGTGGACAGTGACAAGTCAAATACCATAGTTTGGAGGAAATTTTACAACATGGTCTAATGGTGTTAATTGTCACCAGCATCCTACCTGGTGCTTGTTTTTGTTTTTTA